ATTCTTAATCTAGGGTTAAAAGCCAGTGTAGACACTCCAGCCCAGGATTCCCTGACATGGGTCAGCTGACCCAAGTCCCACTAACCTTAGGCTTACATTGCTATGTACACACAGCCTTAGTGAGTCAGTAGCCAAGTTAGGCATCCTGCATGCACCCAGGGCTGACAAGAGAGGGGGAAGCCAGTACAAATTACCGGGGCCCGGCAGTCCAGAATGGGGCCCGGCCAGTCCGCCCTTGCTGGGGGGCCCGAAAAAAAATTTTCACCAGGGCCCGAACCCGCTCTCGGTGGCCCTGCATGCACCTGACACATAGGAGTCCAATCTGATTACACATCTATAATGGCCCACACGGGGTAGGTCCTGGGCATGCTGGTATAGCCTGGGGCAGGACAGAGCTATGTCTGTGGAGGCCAGGCCTGCTGGGTTAAGAACCCATCCCATGCACTGCCTGGGGGGAGCAGCACCGCTGGGGTGTGAGCCAAAGGCCACTGGGAGAGACTTCCATCACCTCTGATGGGCAAGAGCAGCCCCCAAGTGCACTGAACTGGCTGCCTCCTGGGAGACCCAGAGTAAGCAGTGACCCTGTGGCAGATCCTCCCCCACCCCACCCTGCCCACCCCGCCACCCTTGAGCTCCCAGCGGTTAGCCACATCCTGTCAGCAGCATGCTGGGGCTCCAGGGGCAGGGAGTACGAGCCACCCTGCTTCTCGGGCAGTGGTGCCCAAACTTTTCCTGTTGGTCCAGTAATGGAATCTGTCCACAAACCACCCCCCACCCCTGCACAGTTGGCTCAGCAGAGGAGCTGGAGCTGGGGACTGAACTGGGGATGAGGGAGTAACTGGCCTGGGGGCAGAGAGGAATAAGGGCAGAGCTGGGCTCAGGGTGGAGTGAGAGGGGTCTTCCTCCACACCCTTTGTGGGGGCTGGCCCAGCCCACCTGTGAGCCCCCAAATGTCCCCCTGCCCCCCCCCCCCCGCTTAGGGGAGGCGCACCCCACCATTGCGGGACCACTGTTCTAGGCAGTGTGGCTGAAGAGGCTGGTGTGTGCAGGTACATGCTGCCCTCTGCTGGACAGAATCAGACCTGCTCAACTATCACTGGGAGCCTGAGCTGAAGCTACTGACTCCTATGGAGATGCTCTTTGAAGTCCTGACCCCATTTAAGCCAGTGGACGTTTTTCCATTTACCTCAGAAATTGCCCTTCCTTGCTCGCCAGTGAGTGTCCTGGCATTTGGCAACACAGGGCCCTCGCTTCTCATCTGATGCTCAAGATAGCAGATATACTGGGGAGGGGACTTGTTGCCTATTTAATCACTGGGCTGACATTCCCCTAGCCAGCACAACCATATGTGGCATCTAGACCAGAGAGTTCAGTGGCAGCTGGAAACATCTGCTGGGAGGAGATGCAGGGACACTGCAGAGGGTGACTAGAAGGCAAGGGGCAGGAGCAGAGAGGGAAAGTGCAAGAGTCAGCAGCACCTTTCCCATGAATGACCCAACAGCAGGGGAAACGTAAAGACCCATTGAATCCGAGCCTGGGAATTGGTGTGAACAGAGGACAGGACCCTGCTGTCTCTGAGAGCAGCCCCTCTGGGCTCCCACAGTGAGATCAGAGCTGGGAGCAGCAGCCAGCCTGGCCCATCAGCATCTGGCCAAGGACATTGGGAACGTCTCCAAGACCCAGCCGGGCAAAACTGGGACATAGGCTGACCTCAGTGAGGTGAGGAGATGATCAAGCTCTTTATGAGGTGCTGCTGGGATGGGAGGGAAGAGGAGAGAGGATCATGAGGGCAGCTCTAGGAGACAGCAGGGTCCCTTCCTCACACCAATTCAGAGGTTCAGATTCAATCAGTCTTTAGGCTTCCTCTCATTTGTGTCTTTCCTGGGAAATCACTAACCAATAACTACTAAAAATGTTTTTTCCCTTTCCCTAATATGTGTTCTCCTACTCTGTACAGATAGATCAGCCTAGAGCTGTCTTTTCACTGCACAACTCCACAGGGTCATAGCTGGGAATGCAGCTTTTTTTCCCCCCCCAGGCTTTTAAAACTCCAAGAAACAGAAGTGCAAACATCTAGCTCAATGCAACTCCAAGGCTGCCCAACTCAAAAAATACATACATACATAGAACAATCAGGAAAAGTAAAGGTGGGCTTTTTTCCAGGCAACAGGCACTCAACCACTTCCTACAGAGGGAGCATTTTATATGATTGGTTAGAATGCTGTATATGCTCTAAATTAGTTTCCATTAGGTACAATCTGGCTGAGTTAATATTGCTATAGCAACTTTTGTTTAGGCATTTTCTGACCACTGTGCTACAATTTTCACTCTTCCCACTGGATTAGTGGAGGTTTTATCAACAAACGAGTAGATGAAGAACCAGTTGACATAATTCACTTGGAGTTTTCAAAAAGCCTGAAGCAACGTCCCTCAGAAGAAGCTATGAAGCAAACTAAGCGATCTGGGGTGAGAGGCAAAGTTCTGTCCGGATCAGAAATTGACCAAGAAACAAAAGAATAAGAATAGGTGGTGGAATCTCCATCCTTAGGGATTTTTAAGGCCCGGCTTGACAAAGCCCTGGCTGGGATGATTTAGTTGGTGTTGGTCCTTGGGGTTGGCTTTGAGCTGGGGATTGGACTAGATGACCTCCTGAGGTCTCTTCCAATCCTAATATTCTATGATTCTATGAATAAATGATGGATTTTCAACATGGCAAAAGGCTCAGACTGGGGCCCTAAGGTTCTGGAGTTGTGAAGAGTAGTGTAAAGTCAGCTCTAGTGTGATAAATCAGAACTGTATGGAATAGGAGAATGTGCATTTCATTGTCAGTCTGAGCCACCCAGAAACAGGGATCTGGGAAAAGGAGAGAATGGGGAGGTGGCCACATTTGCAGATGACATAATTATTTAGATTAGTCAAGACTGGAGAAGACTCAGAGGAACTTCAGAAGGATCTAACCAAGGTAGGAGAATCGGAAGCGCTGGCAGATGAAGTTCAATAGCAACAGATGCAAGGCAGAAGGAATCATTTGAACTATGCATCCACGATTCTGAGAGCTACATTGACCGACCATTCAGAGAAATGAGCTGGGAGTCACTGTGGGCAGTTCAGTTCAGAATTCTGCTCAATGCGCACCAGCAGTCACAAAGGCAAACAAAATGTTGGTATATTATATCAAATAATGGGACAAAGTACTGAGAATGTTCTAATGCCATTCCATGTACACTAGTGGAATGGCCTCAGCTGGAATACTCCCTTCAGTTCTGGTCAGCCTCGCTAAAAATAACCCACCAGACACAGAGTGGGGTTCTGAGATGGGGACTGTCATAACTATAAAGGGAAGGGTAACAGCTCTCTGTGTACAGAGACTCCAAATCCTTTTACCTGTAAAGGGTTAAGAGGCTCGGGTAACCTGGCTGACACCTGACCCGAAGGACCAATAAGGGGGCAAGATACTTTCAAATCTTGGGGGGGG